TTGGGGCGCCGCAGGTCGGGTTCCTTGATGGGACTCCCGGAGGGAAAAGAGGGTGTTCGTGTCACACGTATGTACGCGGAACTAGAGTTTCTGTAAATGCTACCTTTAGGTACCTAAATGTAGCATACAGTAACTCTACGCGGCACGAGCTCACTACTGTTTCGGCATAGATCACCACAGCAAGCAGCAGCAACCCCGCTCACTCGCACGGCACAGATAAGGCCACGTGTTACATACCTGTTCCTTACGTCTCATATCGGACATTTATCTGTTCTTAGCACGCGTTAACTATTGTTTATCATTTGTAAAAGCCCTGCTAATACGTGACATGTTTCCAGCTCTTTATTTGCTCGCATATTTCTTGCTAATAACCGATTTAAGACGAGCACCTGGTCAGTGCGTGTACACCTTCTTTAGAAGCATGTGTTACACCCATTAGTTTTTCTCCTGTGTTTGTATGTATGTACGTATTGCGGTTACTACAACAAAATTGCCATAAACACGCGCGAGTTGTGTTTCTTCCAATAACTTAATTGAATGAACCCATAAAAAAGCAGCTGATGCCGCCTCAGAAGTCATCACACTTGAAGGCGGAAGGGCATTGAACACTGAAATCTTGCCAGACTACGTACAATCGTGGCGACGGACTGTGAGTTATGTGGTTCTTAGCCTTTATATATGTTGATAATAAAGGATCAATTTCTCTTGAAAGCCCGCTTGAACTTCTTTTTTTTTTTTTTGGAATTCATTTGCATCAGAAAAGCTCCCGCGGAAAAAAGACGGACCTCCGAGTAGGCTGCGTGGGTACGTTTTTCACATGAAAGGTTTTTCTTGAATATGCACTAGCTATATACATAAAAACACTATATATATATATATATATATATATATAAATAAATAAATATATATATATATATATATATATATATATATAAATAAATAAATAAATATATATATATATATATATATATATATATATATATATATATATATATATATATATATATATATATATATATATATATATATATATATATATATATATATATATATATATATATAGTGAAGGTATGGGATATGGCACAACGGGAGCGTTGTCAACAAGGATAAATATATTTATTTCCCAACAGTTTCGGGAGGGGACCTCCCTTCATCAGGGGATGAGTTAACTAACTCATCCCCTGATGAAGGGAGGTCCCCTCCCGAAACTGTTGGGAAATAAATATATTTATTCTTGTTGACAACGCTCCCGTTGTGCCATATCCCATACCTTCACGAAGACTAACTGGCCCATTGAATTATTACTCCCACTATATATATATATATATATATATATATATATATATATATATATATATATATATATATATATATATATATATATATATATATATATATATATATATATATATATATATATATATATATATATATATATATATATATATATATATATATATATATATATATATATATGTGTGTGTGTGTGTGTGTGTGTGTGTGTGTGTGTGTGTGTGTGTGTGACGCTATGGGAGTGGCCTGGCTCATACGCCATGTTTATTCCGTTCTGCCCTTCTTCCTTCTCGACCTCTACTAACCATCACTTGATACGTCACACGATTCCCCCTCTCCCCGAAAGAAGGCATGGATTACGCACAACAAAAGTAAACAAGGAGAGGTTGAGAAGTCACAAATGTCAAAGTGCACAATTGGTTTCATGGCCCCGTGGTGTTCCGTAAACTCGCAAAACTTAAGAAAAGAGTGCAGCAGCCCAGTAAATGGTGGAGTTCTGGTGGGCGAGGTTGGCTGTGGAGTTCTGGAGAAGATAACCGCGTCTTGCAAAACTGCACTGACCATGACGTGACTTGAGCACCTGCGAGGAACGAACAAGGTTGGAAGTCCTTGGAGCATTTTAAGGTCGAATGTCGTAGGCGCAGAATCCTCTGTCGTACGCGCTGTATTCTGTGTCGCGGCTGAGACAGAATTAGTGCTTGCAGCCTGCGTGTACAAGAACTGAAGTTCAAGGAATTATGTCTATGTTCGTGCATTGTACAAAATATAGCGTTCAGTCTCTTTTGTAGTTTTCTGTGGCGTTGGCTCCGTTGTCGTGAACTAATGGGATGGTGTCTGAATCTTTGCGTGGTAGAACTGGTGACTTCTTGTCTTGTTCGGTGTTTCCTGAGGTTTCAGAGCTGTAATCTTAGGCGCAGTCTTGATATTTTGTGCCAAATGCGTTTTTGGCGCCGATCCCTTATGCAAAGATGCCTGACGTCTTGAATTTGTTTTAAGAGGCTGACTTTGCGTCGTCGTCCTTGTCGGTGTATCCGTTGGAGTGTCTGCGATTCTTGGACTTGCTTTTGCTGGCGTTGCTGATGTTGCTGATGTTGCTGTGGAACGCATTGCGGTGAGATCCCTTCTTGAATGATCGCGCTTGTTTTCTTCACAACTTGATGTGGGGCCCAGTCGGCAGCTGGTAGTTTGTGGGCTGTTGTCATGCACTTCGGGCAATGAAGATAATGCTTCAGAATTGGTAGAAAGTTCTTCAGAAGCTTCTTCTACCCTGTTCACTATAAGAGGCTCTTGCGCATTGCAGCGTGCGACGTTCGATGCGTCGGAGCCTTCGGTGTTTCTTCCACTGTCGAGTGTGTATGGACTGGATGGCGATGCATGAACCCGTGTGGGAGGAGCATGGCTCGACAGGGTATTTTCCCGATGCGCCAGGTCATCTACCATAAATACGGCGTCCTTATAAGGCAAAAGGTGAGCGTTAGGAGCGCTTGAAGAACCGCGTGATGAAAACCGAGGTGGTAGACCACGTATGCCAGACGAAGAGTGAACGGCATCAGGTGGTTGGGCAACGTCTCGGGTCATATGATGAAGCGATGACTTCGCAAATGCCGACTTTCGTGCAGAAGGGAGGCGCGCTCGATGGCTGTGTTTTTCCCAAAATACGCGTTGTCGTCTGCCACTGAACTCGTGTGCCACTTCGTCTTTTGTCAGAGGTCGAATCTTGTTGTGCGTTCGAATGGTTGAAGACTGCCTGTAAAATTGACGACTGAGTGCAGTTGTCTGTGGATGGTGGGTTACAAGCAAGTCTTCGTCGTAGTCGTCATCATATTCTTTAAACCAAACGATCATTTCTTGTTTTATCTTTTGCCAAGACTCATCGTTGTCGAATATGTGGGTGAGGTAAAATTTAAATGCCTCACTGATGACGTAGTCGCTGAAGTTCGTAACCATTTCCCGTTCCGACCTAGATGCAGCGGTAGCGTGGAACTCGAACATGTCGAACCAGTCCTGTACAGCTCCATCGTCCGCTGCTCCGGTGTACTTGGAGATGGGAAGGTCGGTCGATGGTTCTGTCATGGTGCTGGTCACTGTGTGTGGCTAGGAGATGATTCCGTAGTCGATGTATGGTCAGGGCATCTTGTGTAGAACTGCGTCGATGATGAGACACTGATGAAGTGGCTGGGAGGTCTTCATCCTGTCGACTCGTGTGACGCTATGATGACTGGGAGACGTGGCCTGGCTCATACGCCATGTTTATTCCATTCTGCCCTTCTTCCTTCCCGACCTCTACTAACCATCACTTGATACGTCACATATATATAGTGTGTGTGTGTATCGTTTGAAGGGCCTATCAATGTTAATATTACCGCGACACATGTAAAGAGCTCTTTTTGCAGAAAATTGTCTGCGTCGTTGGTTGTGAGCCATAAATTATTTTATGCGTGAGCGAAAAATCTGGAACTGTGTGAGGACTAAACCTGGGTTCAAGTGAGGATTGAACCCGGGTCGTTTGCGTGGCAAGCGGAGGTTCTAGCACACAGCCGCTCCTCCGCTTGTGAAAACAGTGAGAAGAACTTCCTCTGCTTAGAAATGCAGTGAAAGTAGCTTTAATGCTTCACAAACACACGCGTCCTGTATACATGCTTCACAATTCAAATGAAATATCACAGTGATGATACGTGGTAGGAGAGTCCATTGCCAACAGGTGTCAGAATATGGGATTATGATAAAGACTCCGTGGTTGAAAGCCGGTACCTTACTACAAAAGGCACACACGCTACTGTGCCCATTCCCTTAACGCCACGCAGTGGGGCCATAGCAAGTTCGAAAAGGATTCATGCATTAGGTGTTTGAAGTATGCACTAGGAACTAAATATCGCTGTCCCATTGAACTCCTAAAGGCGAAACTTTAGGGTCCCCTAAATTTTTATTAGTATACAAGTGGTCAGCTTTTTCTTCTATACGAGTTCACATTTTGGCTACTGCACAGGACACAAGGGTTTGTTTTTAAACGAAAGCGCTGATTCTTTAGCAAAGGCGGCGCTTTTGGAGCCAACCATTGCGGTTTTCCCACCGACAACATACATTACAATTGCAAGATTCAGCCCGCTAACATTCCCAAACACTTATCAGACCCTGTCTTGAAGCACCCATCATTTCTCTGGAACAGCGAGTTATCGTGGTCGAGAATAATGGAAGTGGCAATATTCATACTTCTCTTCGGGTTACCTCCCTCAACTTTTACCTGCGTAGAGCAAGTCAAGCGCTGTCTCCTCTGTGTCTCTTCGGTGAGGACGAGGAAACAATTAGTCATTACCTCCTATCCTGTCGCCGGTACACATCATTGAGGAGAAGATTCATAACCCATCCCTTCGAAACTCGGGTCTGGAAATATCCGAATGAGTTCCTTCATTTGGCGCCTCTACTCTAGCTTACAGTCACGGGTATATTCACTAGGCCATAGATAAATTTACCAGTCAGACTAAAAAAATAATGAACTAAATTATCCATTGTTTTAAACATTTCATTATTATTATTCAGTAATTAAGTTTGTTATATTAACTATTCCTAGCTTATACGTGAAGTTATGTGAGAAGAGGTGAAGAAGAAGAAGGACACCGCACGCGCACGTCTAGGTCGCGCTCGCACCTGCGCACGTAGTGCACGCTCAGCAACTGGTCGTCATTCCGAAGCAACGCAGCAGGACCGACATGGGTGACCACGGCCGAAGACCCCAGCTCGTGTCCCACTCGGATGGCCCCCGACCGCAGAGGCGCTTGTTTCGTGGCAGACGCCAGCACCCACCGCCAGGGTTCGACGGACTGATGAGCGCCGCCTACCTGCAGGAGCTGTTTGGCCTTCCGTCGACGTACCCTTGGACACCGGGGCCCACACTGCCCACGGAACCCTCGCCGTACTACTACGTCCAGTGGCCATACCCAGTGTTGCCGATGTTTCCATTGTTGCCACCGTGGATGGTGCCAGCGATCTCTTGCGAAGTGGCTCCGAACCAAGGCACAACATGGCGACCGGGTGTGAGCCCGGACGTCACGAGGAATGGTGCCCCGCCACGTCATCCAGAGAGGCAGGTCGTCAAGCGCCGTGGGTCCCGGCCACCTGCTGAACAAGAACCCAGGTGGTGCGACCCCAGGCTACCAGGGCGCGGACTCGTAAAAGCGCCACTCCTTCAACGAGCGGGACGTCACGAAGCAGCCCGTCAAAGGAAGGGCAAGAGGAAGACATCGAACTGGTGCTGTCGCGACTGCTGCGCGCTGTGGCAGACCTCGGGCTTGGCGTGCCCGCCAAGAAAGAGGAGCCACGGTGCTCCGCACGTAAGTTCATCTACAGCGCCGCGATGCTGAGAAGCTTGAACGTGCAGAACCGCGCCCCGATGTCTGCCGCGCGATCGGAGCACCAGGACCAAAACCTGGAAGGGAGCTCCACGTCCGCCAGCAACGATCGTGAGTAACCAGCCGAGATAACACCTCGGGCAAGGTCAAAGACCCTGGACGTCGCTGCACTGATTTGGTGCCGCTGACGCTTCGGATGACGGCTTGGTCTGACCCCAGCACTGCATGAGTCCACTGCCCCACCGGATTTTTCTGTTTACTCGGGTCAATAAATGTTGTTTGTTGACAGAGGCGTGTAGGTTCATGATTACTGAACAGCCGTTGCAGCCATGTCCGTGTGCGTATACATGTATAGGTATATATTGTCACCAATAAATATAGCACCTGGTACTATACACACTATTTATTTAGGGTGAACCTGTGCCCGTAAACTCAAAACTAAATGGTCAGCCAAAATGTCCCTTGCTCGCTGTCTCCAACTTCGTCGGTCTCTTCCTCTTCACCTCGAGTTTCGTGCCGGTCCCGTGGCGTAGCATCGTGGCGCGTGCAGGAAGGCGTTCCATGGCGCGGCTTTCTTGTTACTTGTGTGGCGGCTTTCACGAACGCAAATTGTTGCACGCGTCTTCTGCGAATGTCGAACTGTGACATTAGTCCCCCTCATAGCACGCATCGCCCCGATGCGCACAGCCAGCTGACAGTTTCTAAACAATAGGACTTCTCCTTATGTTAGACGACGTGAGTCAGTTCGCTTGTTCAGTTCCTGTCGTAGTACGGTTTCATTCGTATTACATGTACAACTTCCGGGAAATTCCTGCGTTGTGTTGTGCATACTTGACCTTCAGAGATCACTTCGTAGTTCAATGGGCCTAGCTGGCGAAGAACCCTGTAAGGGCTAAAATAGCACCGCATAAGCTTTTCTGATAGGCCACGTGCATGTAGAGGCGTCCAGACCCACACTTGGTCTCCAGGGGAGTACTGAACGTCCCTTCGTCTTAGAATGTAACGGTGCGCGTCGACGTCCTACTGGGAAATGACGCGGTTCCGTCCTGGTTGTCGCGCATCTTCTGCCCTTTCTGCATAGTCGCTGATGTCAGGGTCCTCTTCATTCGTGCTGCTGACAGGCAGCATCGCGTCTAATGGCGTTTATACTGTCCGACCATAAACCAGTTGAAATGGCGTGAAGTGGGTGTCTCTTGTACAGCGGTACTGCATGCAAATGTAGCATACGGTAATATGGTGTCCCAAGTCCGATGCTCGACGTCCACATACATCGCTATCATGTCAGCAAGCATCCTGTTCAGCCTTTCAGTCAAATCGTTAGATTGCGGATGGCACGCGGTAGTTCTTCTGTGGTCGGTGTGCGTTAGTTTCATGACAGACTGTACTAGCCTGGAAGTAAAGCTGTTCTTTTGTCAGTTATGAGGAGTTTAGGTGTGCCATGTAGCAGCACTATCTGGGTCACAACAAACTGAACCTTTTCATTTGCCGTTCCTTTTGAGAGATGACGTCTCGGCATACCGGGTCATGTAGTCGATTGTTACAACTTTCCAGCGCTTCCCGAACGATGACATAGGAAATGGTCCTAGCAAATTCATTCCGACCTGCTTAAATGGGACTTTCGGTGGCTATATCAGTTTCAAAAGACCTGCTGGCTTTAGGGGCGGTATTTGCGTCTTTGGCATTCTCGGCATGATCTTATATAGTGCTGTACTGAATCCATCAATTTTGTCCAGTAATATCTATGGCGAATTCTTGCCAAAGTCCTACTAATGTCCAAGTGACCTGTCAATAAGTCATCATGACATGCTTTTAAATTTTCCACTCGTAGTGACGATGGTATCAGAAGCAGGAACGTTTCACCGGTGTGTTTGAAGTTTCTCTTGTAGAGAACGTTGCTGTGGAGGGCATAGGAACGTAGTCCACGGACGAAAACTCGCGGTACTTCGACTTGCTGCCCCTCTAAGTATTGAATGAGCAGAAGTAATTCTGGGTCCATTCGCTGATCACGAGCCATCTGTGACACATTCACAGCTCCAAGAAATGCGGAATCTTGTTCATGCTCAGGAGATGAGGTTTGTACTGGTGCTCGTGACAAGCAATCCATGGCATTGTGCTTGTGGCCAGACTTGTAGACTACGGTGATGTCATATTCCTGTAGACGTAGGCTCCATCTAGCAAGTCTTCCGGAAAGATCCTTGAGGTTCACAAGCCAACAGGATGAATGATGGTCACTGATGGCTCGGAACGGCCTACCGTATAAATATGAATGGAACTTACTGATGGCCCATATAACTGTCAGAGATTCCTTTTCTGAAGCTGAATAATTATACTCAGCTTTCGACAGAGTGCGGCTTGCGTAAGCAATAACTTTTTTTCCCCCGTTCTGCCACTGAACAATAGCACCGAGGCCAACGTTGCTAGCGTCCGTATGAATGTCTGTTTTGGCATCTTCATCAAAATGAGCGAGTTTGGGAGGTGACCGCAAACGCCGTCGTAACTCAGAAGGCGTCCTCTTACTCTTGCTGCCAGATCAATGGTGCACCTTCCTTCGTAAGCCGTGTCAGTGGTTCCGCAATCTTGTAGAAGCTTTCAACGAAGCGCCTATAGTAATCACAAAGCCCCAGGAAACGTCGCATAGCATTTTTCTCTTGGCTTTGGGAAATTTTCAATCGCAGTGATCTTATCCGGGTATGGATGGATACCGTGAGAACTGACAATGTGTCCGAGGAGCTGAAGCTCGCGGAATCCAAAGTGACACTTTTCGGATTCGATCGTAAGTGCAGCCGTGCGAATAGCATCCAGTACTGTTCTCAATCTCTGTACTTACTGCTCGAACGTAGCGGAAAAAATTACTACGTCATCAAGATAGACAAAGCATGACTGCCATTTGAGGCCGGAGAGCACAGTGTCCATCATCCTCTGGAAGGTGGCGGGAGCAGAACACAAACCAAATGGGAGTACTTTGAACTCGTAGAGTCCGTCGGGTGTCACAAACGCCGTCCTCTCACGATCTCTTTCGTCGACTTCTATTCCAGTACCCTCTCTTTAGGTCCAGTGATGAAAAAAAGCGAGCATTGCACAGTTTATCTAACGTATCGTCGACTCGTGGGAGTGGGTACACGTCCTGCCTCGTGACGAGGTTGAATTTTCTATAGTCAACACAGAACCGCATGGTGTTGTCCTTTTTCTTCACAAGTACTACCGACGATGCCCATGGGCTTTTGGAGGGCTGTATGACATCTGCGTCAAGCATCTCCTGTACTTGCTTCTTTATCGCCTCCCTTTCTTTCGGAACTATACTCGGTATGGATGCTGACATACTGGTCTAACATGTCCTTCGATTACAATGCGGTGCTTTGCTACGGGAGTACGTCCGTCTTTCGATGAAGAAGTAAAACACTCTGCGAATTCTTTGATCAACTCCACAATCTGGTTTTTCTGCAGAGGGGAAATCTCTAGGTCAATATCTATTTTCTGGAGGACACTGTCCACTGTTAAGGAAGTCGTTGGTGCTTTTTATATGGTGCAAACATCTGAGACCTGTACGTAGTCGTGAAGTGATGCTATGGCTGCTCCCTTCGCCACATGCTGTGTCTCGTTGGTAAAGTTAGTCAATAGCACATCAGTATATCCGTTCCGCAGGTTCACTAGACCTCTCGCCACGCGTATCTCCTTTGTGAGCAGCTGTTTGATATTTCCATCAGCTAGTCCGGCATATTCACGAAAAAACGTCGCTTTTCACAGCAACTGTCAAGCTGCTACGTGGCGGCACTGTCACACCTTCACCCACAATACGAAGAGATGAAACGATTGGTTGCTGCGCATGACACACGGCAAACAGCATTCTCTGTAGAGAAAGAAACTTGGGATATCTGCAAGTCGATGATGGCACTGTTTGCTTGCAGGAAGTCCATGCCCAGAATTGCCTCACGGGAACATTCGGGGAGAACAATAAAACTGCTGACGTACACATGACCTCTTATTCCCACTCTCGCTGTGCACAATCCTACGGGGCTAAGTGCCCTCCGGCTGTGCGTATCTGCGGTCCGGTTCAATGAGTGAGCCCTTTTTTCAGCTTCTTTGTGAACATGCTACTTATTACTGAGTAGTCTACACCAGTTTCCATTAACGCTATGGTCTCGACGTCATCGATTCTGACTTGTAGCTCGGATGTCACGTCGCCATTACTGCACTTGTCCGTCTTATCCGTTATTTTGTCAGTGTCGTCGTCTGATCCGGTTAACGATGGAGGGTTTTCAGTTTTCTGAAAATCAGCAGCCCTGCCTCCACAGGTCGCTATATCTAGTTTTCCCGTCGCGGGCTTGGTGAAAGGTGCCTCGGGAAATTGGATAATGGGCGTTGACTCAGTGACCTATTGCGCATAGGTGCAATCGACCGCGATTCATGTTGCTGAGTGTTTGGAGAGGTATAGCGCGAAATTAAAAATTCTTCGATTTCACCGTTACGAGGGCAGGGTGCATTCACTAAGAAGCTGCGTGCAGAAGACGCATGCTATATACATATATAACACCAAATAAATTCATGTAAGTACCACATATGAAATTTCCCTAAGGGAGTTCGTATACATATATATGTATATATACTAATATAAGGCCACATAAATTTATGTGCCACATATAAAATTTCTGTAAGGGAGGCCGTATACGTGAATAGGTATATATACTGATATAAGGCCACATAAATTTATGAGCCACATATAAAATTTCTGTATGGGAGTCCGTATACATATATATTGCTACGGTATGAGCCGGGCTGTAGTATGTGCCGAGTAGGTAGAAGAGAAAGACGACGTTGTCTGGTGCGGCCTGAGGACCCACGTTTCACGTTTTTCACGTTTTTTAAAGGAACATTATTATTGTTCCTATCTAATTTCTCTTTCTCTTTTTAGCAAGCGTTGTAAAAAATTATCTATTATGAGGTACAGTGTGGCCAATCCCCCATGTTTGTATGAGCCAAGATAT